AAAGAATGAAGGAGAAACAGGACAAAATATATTTCATGGCTGGCTCCAACAGAAAAGAGGTAAAGTACTGTCTTTATCCATTCTTAATTTATCCACTGCTGTTGTAACCTTTGCCATGCAGTAAAATGCCAGAAGATGTCTTCAGAATTAAGACTAGTTATGCTGAATAAACATGTGGTTAGCACAAGTTAAATAGCTTGCTTGTCAGTATTTGCAAATTTGCCTTGTATTATAATCAGTTTGAATTTGTTTTGTAGGCTGAATCTTCACCATTTGTGGAACGGCTTCTGAGAAAGGGTTATGAAGTAATCTATTTAACTGAGCCTGTAGATGAATACTGCATTCAGGCCCTCCCAGAGTTCGATAATAAAAGGTTCCAGAATGTTGCTAAAGAAGGAGTAAAGTTTGAAGAAAGTGAAAAATCAAAAGAAGCCCGAGAAGCTTTGGAAAAAGAGTATGAACCCCTTTTAAATTGGATGAAAGATAAAGCTCTAAAAGATAAGGTATGTACATATTTACAGCTTTGATGTTCTTTGAATCTTATTTTATAGTGGGCATGAATTAATACACCTTATTTCCCCTTTAGATTGAGAAAGCTGTATTGTCTCAGAGGCTCACTCAGTCACCGTGTGCTCTTGTGGCGAGTCAGTATGGATGGTCTGGCAACATGGAAAGAATCATGAAGGCTCAGGCTTACCAGACTGGCAAAGACATCTCTACAAAGTAAAGTTTTAATTTTCTTGTAAAGTGTTTTCTAAATATTTAACTTGTCCGTTGTCAACTAATTAAACATGTCCTAGTACTTTCTACAAAGTATTTTCTATCCTCACACCATCTAGATTGATATGAGCAAATGTGATCCTTTTGTCTCCACCCAAGTTGCTTCCTAGAACAATTGATTTACCAAACCATGCCTCTTGTCTTTGGGAGATGCAGTTGGTTATTTTATCCCATTTTGGTTTCCCCGGAGCTTATTTGACCTATAGGAAATACAGTACAAAATGTTGGGGGTAATTTCTGCACTACTTTTTAATAGATAATCTCAAATTAGAGGAAACCACCATTCAGGTGATGTAGATCATAAATTTCAATCATATGTAGTCTAGGAAAAATACCTTAAAGTCCAACGTGCATTGCTGGACAAGTCACCTTTGGGTGTTGCACTTTCTCAACACTGACTTGGGCTTTGCATTTGAGCTACAATCCTGTGCATACATCCCTGTGAGAGAACAGCATTAAAATATAGTAAGATGTGCTTCTGATTGTATTGTTCCTATGATTGTACTGTAAACTACTTCTTTAACTACCAGACTTTAAATTGAGTAAAATTCATGCTCAGTAACTTACTATTAAATATTCTTCCCCCATCAGTTACTATGCAAGTCAAAAGAAGACATTTGAAGTCAACCCTAGACATCCTGTCATAAAAGATATGCTCAGGCGTGTTCAGGTAAGAAACCTTTGAGGTAGTGATATTATCTGCCACGCTTCTGAGCTTTAATAGAACCAAATATTGTGGCAGTGTGTTTGTTCAGCCATATGGTGCGAGTTAAATTCAGATCCATGGGAAATCTAGGGATTTGTAGATAAAAGTCAATTTTTATTGTGTTGAACTTTTGGTCTTTTTTTTCCTTAGGAAAATGAAGATGATCAAACAGTTGCAGATCTTGCTGTGGTTTTATTTGAAACTGCTACAATAAGATCGGGGTATATTCTACCAGATACAAAGGAATATGGAGATAGGATAGAAAGAATGCTTCGACTAAGTCTGAACATTGACCCAGAGGAAAAGGTTTGTCAACAAATTAAATATGTGGTTCTGCTCCTTGGCAGTCCAGTTCATAATATAATTCTGTTTTTTTTAAAAAAAGTGTTATTTAAGAACTGAAAAGGCACACATACATGATAGCTGTTAGCAGCTTATCTTTTGAATTCATGGTAGTACGAGTGAACCTAGAAATAGTTTGAATATATTGGGATGGAGATGTGTTTGATTTCTGAAGTGGTTCTTGACTAAGAACTCTACCCTTGACAGGTGGAAGAGGAACCTGAAGAACCAGAAGAGGCTGCTGAAGAGGTAGAGGAAGAGGTTGATGCCGATGAAGATGCTGAAGACAGTGAAACAGAGAAAAAGGTTAGTGTGTTTAAGAAGCATAAAGGGGAAGCTTGAGTAGGTTGTCCAGTTTTTGCATCATTACCATATTGGAAACTTGAAGCTATTTTAATCTGCAGTTAAATAGTTGTATACTTAGCTTGTTTGCTCTGTACACAAATTAACAGACTTAGACTTTATGGTGGTACATACTTGATATTATTTACAATGAAAAGATCTGCCCCCTGCCCCCCCCCCCCCGGCAAAAAAAAATCAACCAACCATCCAGTAATAATACCGCCTTGAATGTTGTCACTATATAACCTTTTGGAGTCCTTGATATTCTGTTTTAGTCTCTTTAAATGCATTTATCAGATTAAAATGGTGTTTTTATTCTGAAGTTGAGAGTACAGCAGACAAATACAATAAAACATTGGCAGACTAGTAGCAGTTAACATACTGGGGAATCATTCCTAACATTTCTTGGTAGAGAGTGAGTGCTAGTGCACCTTTGGACTTAAGCCTTTTTTTTTTTTTTTGTCTTTTGCAGGAGCCCACAGATGTCAAAGATGAATTGTAAAACACACTTCAGAAATTACTATCCTGTGTTTCAGATGAAGCAGGAATGTGAACTAAACTTGTTTCTTTTTCACTGTAAAATGTTGGGGGGAGGCTTAGGGTTATGGGCAGAAAAGAATTTTTTTAAGTTGCATTTTTTAAACATTCCTCACAATGTAAATTTGTACTATTTAACTGACTACTTGGTGTAAAATCTTGTCATGTACAAAATTAAAATGTTCACACCATTAGCTGTACTTATTTATTAGGAAGCAAACAAAATCTGTTGTCTTCTGTAGTGGGAATCGGGGGGGAAAAGCACTCTTATAAAACAAGAGTGGTCTTTGAAGGTGGTGTTAAATAATGTATATGCTTGGGTAAGGATGTTTCTAGGTTTAAAGTTCTTAAAAGTGTATTTGGGTCATCTTCACAAAAAGTAAAATGGGAAGGCTGTGAAATATTTTGTGTTACCACCACCTATTAGCCACTGCACAAAAAAGTGAGAAATGATTTTGGATCTTACCTTAAATTTTGAATTCCAAGCATAAGAGCCACTTTTTCTGGGGTTGATGGTACAGGAAATGAACATTAACCCAAAAGTTGCTGTTTCTTTACATCAGAAAACACTTCTCTGGGTCCTTCAGAACAACTATGGTCAACATCTGGCAGAGATTGACCACAATCACACTGGAGGACAGAGATTCTAGAGGAAACACATGTGGAGGTCTGACTATAGTACACTTCTGATTTACTTAATAGATTATTGAATGGATCTTGGTACTCTGCACATAATGAAACATTGCATTTAGTAAAGGCAGCAATACTGACCTAATGTCATCAGTTTCCCTTTATGTTCCTGCTTGCTAGTGGTAGACCTGACAAAATGTCAGCATGCAGCATAAGGTATGCTACACTTGAGCTGAGGATGGGAAGTTTCTTCTATAACAATGAACAGAAATAAACCACTCATACTGATAAGTTTTCACATGGCATACTTGAATACATATGTTTTTATTTGTAAGGGAGGTTATATATTTTGTCTTGCTGACAGGAGCTGTTGCACTAATGCAGTGGTCCACAAAAACGAAAATATGGACTGCGGCCTCACCATTACTACACCGTTGCCTCAAAACCACATGGCAACGAGAGCGACTGGTCTTGCGAAACCCTCTTGTAGTGCTGAGTGCAATGGGGAAGACGGGAGGCAAGAGGTTGACTACCCACGAATTATTACTACTACATCAGCTCTAGATTATTAAATATGGTTTCCTGGGGGCAAGCAGATGGCGACTAGTGGATGGCATATATTTTATATAAGAACCTAGAACTCATGTGGTCTGTCCAATGCCATTTTTGTGAATCAGCACCTCAAATAACCAAAGCCAATCTAAAGTTGATAAAAAACGATTCATAACTCTTGGTACTAATGTTGAGGGGAGGTGCCTGGTCAAAAAAAGGTGGTGAACTACTGCACTAATGCAAGCTAAAGTTTTAGGTTAATTGTATAACATGACTAGACAGCCCTGGCTTTTGATTCCTATTCAAGTTTTTTTTCCCACAACAAAATGGGAGGCTCCTGCACTTACCGAGGAAAATGGGAAATTTTAACAGATTCACACATACCAGAATGAGTAGGTTCTACAGCATTCCTCATGCTGCCACAAGCAGAACAGTTTTGAGTCCTGAGTCAGGTTTCTTTGGGTGCAACACTTTGTCCAATACTTTCCTGTGAATGATTCACATCTGCATGCTTGATGCCACCTTGCTGCCTTGGTTCATGAAGAAATAAAACATGACTCTGTTACCAAGAGTTCTGCACTTCTGTCTTTACAAGGTTCCACATTTTTGATAAGGTTCGTTCAAAAGGTTTGATGACATGCTATTTTCTCCATCATAATCATGAACTTGGCAAAATCCAGCTAGTTGATGCCATGTCTGGTGCAAGAGACTTGTAATGTATTTATATATTGCCTATAGTGGTTAGGCTGTAACAACAACCTGAGAGTCCAGTTTCCAAGCTAGCCTATCACAATGTGTTGCAAGTACAGCTTTAAGCATTTCTGCAAATTGGAGGTGCTTGCAGGGCAGGCTGTCTTGGATATACTGAACTCAGACTATTTCCAATGGTTAGACATCAAATATATGATGAACTGTCTTCAAAGCTAACTGCTACCAATTAAAACCAAAGTATGCTGTTTTGTCACACAAGTCAGACATCCATTTCCACTTCCATAGGATGTAGTTATCTATGGGGCTCCATGACATAAATTGAGTCCACAGGAGGTGATGTTCATACCAGCAGCTGTAATGAATACAAGGCACTTGTGGCCAATTTCTCACACAAAAATACTCAGAAAATATATTCACATTTAATTAAAACATGGAAATGATTGCACTGTATCCAAAGCTAAGAACTCTGGGCAAAAAGGTCACAATATTTGGACTCTTGAACACATCTAGTAACCATTGTCTAGTTGTATCCATTCAGCTGTGAAAATAGTGCACTTTGTGGAGAGATGCAACACCACTCTGTATAGTTATTGTTGTGCAGGTTGAACCTGCTGTTTTTTTTCTTTGAGACCTAAGAGTTCTGTTCTGAGTTCTCCAGGTTTGGGAGGAACTTCGGGTATTGTCTGCAAAATAAAATAAACCCCAAAAAACACATCAGTCACATGAAAATCAGGATAAAGATAATCCAACTGTTGCCCCTCAATAGTTCATCAGGTACTGAGACCAAACCTATTTCACCCTTGAACTATGGCAAAAACCTTTTATGTTACGCAGGGAAAGGGATGTGAAAGCCAGGAAACTCTTGCATAATGGGCTGAATTTAGAAGATCCAGGTTTTAATATGTCCTGGGCCACGAAATTCATCAGATGACCTCAGGCCAAACCTAGTTGCAAAGATAATTCAGGAGGAAGGGGAACCATGTGAACTATTCCAGCTAGATTGAAGGAAAGGGGAGATTTAAATGCTCTTACTGCAATTCCTTTTCCACAACACCTATCATATGCCAGAGAAGTATGCTATCTTAAACACGCTTCTTAAGCAAAAGGGATACAAATCAGTGTCTCTGTACAAATAATCAAGAAAACATTTGGGCAAATCAAAGGCTCAAAACAGTTTGAGCAACAACAAAGATAAAGTGGACCAAAGATAAAGCTTTGATCCACTTTAAACATCAATTTCTGCCCTATCTAAACAAAATGTTATAAAGTCTGCATGCAAGTGGCCTCTTTATCCTCATAAATTGTATCCTATTAATAACATTATCTGATAGATGTGGAGAATTTGTGGGAGAATGATCTCTAGAACATGGTGATTCACTGTTCTAAGGTCCTCCAATGTTGAAATGAGATATTTTTCTGAATTAGTCACATGAGATACAGTTTTGACATACTTTTATTAATTCTGTTGCAAGGAATTTATCACATAAACAAATGTATATAGTTTCTTAGTGTCACTTAAGTTGAAATATCAAGAGTGTAGAAATCAGTCGAAAGCCTGTCAGTTACAAAATGGTTACATAGATTCCGGTGGGATGCCTTAGAAAATTAATCTCACCTAATCAGAGGAAAAAATAAAATCTATTTGGAAATTTACTCCCAGTTCATCCATATACTATGGTCATTTCTCCATATGGGGTTCACAAGAATAACAGCTTTAGATAAATTGATGGCGAACCTCATAGAGAGATGATCTGTGGTATAGTTGATGTACATAGAGTCACTTTTGTTATAAACATGGTGACTGACTACTAAACTTTATTGTAACAAAGGAATGTGTGGGTGTAATGACAAACAATGTATAGCTTAAATTTAAAAATAAGACTAAAAACCAAATACAGACGTTCCCCAAGTTATGAACAAGATAGGCTCTGTTGGTGTGTTCTTAAACTGAATTTGTTTGTAAGTCAGAATAGGTATTTAAGCCTGGATGACCTCCGGCCCTTGTGTCACCGCTTGATATGGTTCCTGCTACTGAACTGGTGGCGACTTTTGCTACTCATAGAGGCCAGCCCACAACCCGAGCTGCCTTCCCAGCTAGGAAACCTCTCTGGGAGTCCAAAGCAGAAGTGGTGTCCTGCTCCCATTGCTGCTTCCTGCTCCCTCAACCAACCCTAGTTTGAGTATGACCCCATTCTGCCTGGAAGAAAGGAGTCCGCTGGGGGCCTTGGATGGGGCCTCCCTGCCTGGCAGAAGGTGATGAACTGGATAACACTGCGACCCCTTCACAGAGGTAGGAGGGAAAGGATAGGGGGGTTCTTTGCCCACCTGCTGCTTCCCGAGGAGGAGCAGGAGGAGGAGGAGGAGGAAGAAGAGGAGGCTGAGGGAGGAGCTCCCTTACCAGCACAAAGGAGGCTGCTGGTCCTTTTCGGTGGAAACACAGCAATCCTCAAAACATCCTCAATGGGGCTTTCCATGGACCCTTACAAAACAAATAGTCAGAAAGAACTGACTAGAATACATAGTTTACTAACAAAATACTTCCAATCTTTTCCAGAATTTCAGGGGAGCCCAGTTACATTCTGTCTGGATTTCAGGGGCTCGAATTTGGGTTCGTTAGTCATATCATAAATTCAGAATTTGCCGAAATTAATACAACTTACGAACCACTTCAGAAATTTTGCACAGGCCATATATATACATACATAGGTAAAGGTAAAAGTTGTCCCCTGACATTAAGTCCAGTCATGTCTGACTCTGGGGTATAGTGCTCATCTCCATTTCTAAGCCGAAGAGCCGGCGTTGTCTATAGACACCTCCAAGGTCATGTGGCTGGCATGACTGCATGGAGCGCTGTTACCTTCCCGCCAGAGTGGTACCTATTGATCTACTCACATTTGCATGTTTCGAACTGCTAGGTTGGCAGAAGCTAGGGGTGACAGCGGAAGCTCATGCCGCTCCCCACAATCGAACCTGCGACCTTTCAGTCAACAAGCTCAGCAGCTCAGTGCTTTATCCCACTGTGCCACCGGGGGCTCTATATACATACATAAAAGGTAAAGGTAGTCCCCTGGCATTAAGTCCAGTCATGTCTGACTCTGGGGTGTGGTGCTCATCTCCATTTCTAAGCCGAAGAGCCAGCGTTGTCTGTAGACACCTCCAAGGTCATGTGGCCGGCATGACTGCATGGAGCACCGTTACCTTCCCGCCGGAGCGGTACCTATTGATCTACTCACATTTTTATGTTTTCGAACTGCTAGGTTGGCAGAAGCTAGGGCTGACAGCGGAAGCTCACGCCGCTCCCCGGAATCGAACCTGCGACCTTTCGATCAACAAGCTCAGCAGCTCAGTGCTTTAACCCAATGCGCATACATATACATATATACATACAGACACACATACATGCTTTGGACAACATCGTGAAGGGTTAACACCCCTGTGGTGCGTGTTTTGCTGTCTGTGCCCCTGTTCAGAAGGTTTCCCCTGACTTTCTATCCTTGTGATAACTGGATTTTGAACAATTTGACTTGTAGTGGAAACAAGGATTGTTAATCCAACTTCACCTGTTTCCCATGATAACTCTTTTTTCCGGAGGGAATTTCCCTTCTTGGGGGTAGACTTCTCTCACTTTCTGTTGTCCTAACTATAAGACATATGTATGTCAGCTGTTTGTAATTTGAGGACTGCCTGTAAGTGTCTTAAAACCAAAATAAATGGGGAAACACCACTTACAAGATCAGGGCGGTAATATCGATGGACAACCTCTGCGCCAGCAAACATGGCCAACATACTCGCAGTCAGCATTTTCAGGTAGCGAGGCCAAGGTACTCCTGCAGGCATGGTGAAAAGAGATCAGGGCTGGAATATTAATCAGAGAAGAAGAAAGGAGTTAGTAATGAAAAAATTGAGTTTTTTAATATCAGGGATAGGGTGGAGTGAAGGAGGAATGCTTATATCTGGGATGAAGGAGGAATGCTCAGTCTCATTAAGAGAAAAAGCGGCATATAAATAAATATATAATAAGCCCCTCCCCCAGCACCAATTGCTGCTCTGGGCCAGAGTGAAGAGAGAGGAGGCCAGGGGACAGTTCCATCTTGTCTCCTGCATATGTCATCAGTTGGGGACCCCTCTCCACAGCCCAGAGTATGCTGGGCCAGAGTGAAGGGGGGCAGGGGACAGTTCCACCTTGTTACCTGTGCTATGCTAATAATATAATAAAATATATTGGACATACATATATTTATAATATTACAATGTAATGCAATATAATACTAATAATAATATATTATAATTATATTTTTTATATTACATGTAATATTACTAATAATATAACAATATAATAATAATAATAATAATAATAATAATAATAATAATAATAATAATAATAATCTTTATACTCTGCCACCATCTCCCCAATGGGGACTTGGAGCAGCTTACATGAGGTCAAGCCCAAACAACAAATTACAATAAAATAAAACCAAAACGCAAACAATAAACAACAACATCATTATTACATAAAACATGTAAATACATAACAATATAAAATTACAATAGGCGCAATCACAATGACAATGGGCGAGATAAAAGAGAGACAGATTATTTGCAGAGGAGGACTCATTATAGCGGGGGTTGTGGAATCAAGCTTTCCCTCGAAGGGGGGGACGGACGACATATACTCCAATAACAGAACGTTGTACTATATAATGGTATAGTACAATATAGTAATATATAATGCTGATATTGTACTATGCTAATAATATAATATATTGTATGTGTGTGTATATATATATATAATCTATCTATCTTGTAAGCCGCTCCGAGTTCCCTTCAAGGTGAGAAGGGCGGCATATAAATGTCATAAAGAAATAATACTGTAATATTAGTACTGTGACAGGAGCCCCCGGTGGCGCAGTGGGTTAAACCCCTGTGCTGGCCTGGCAGGACTGAAGACCGACAGGTCACAAGTTCGAATCCAGGGAGAGGCGGATGAGCTCCCTCTATCAGCTCCAGCTCCTCACGCGGGGACATGAGAGAAGCCTCCCACAAGTGTGAGAAAAACATCAAATCATCTGGGCCAAAGAATGATGGTCCCTCACTAAATACAAATCGCAGGATTCCATAATATTGGCCACAATGCCAGCATATAAATGTCACAGTACTTTTTTTTTTGGTCGTGTCAGGAGCGACTTGAGAAACTGCATGTCGCTTCTGGTGTGAGAGTAGCACACCTGGGCAACGTCCTTGCAGACAGCCAATTCTCTCACACCAGAAGCGACTTGCAGTTTCTCAAGTCGCTCCTGACACGACCAAAAAAAAAAGTACTGTGACATTTATATGCTGGCATTGTGGCCAATATTATGGAATCCTGCGATTTGTATTTAGTGAGGGACCATCATTCTTTGGCAGAGAAGGCAAACAGCCTTGTTAAGCGACAACTCCCAGGATTCTATACCATTGAGCCGTGGCAATTAAAGTGCTCCCAACCCACATTAGCTCTACAATGTAGAAACAGCCATTGCCCTTTACCTGCTTTGATTCCCACCTAAGAAAAGCATGGAGAAACAGGACAAGGAAGGACGACTCCCATTGGCAGAGGGAAGGACCAATCGCGAGCGCAGAACGCGCCACCCTGTCATGCGGGAGGCCGTCAGAACGTTCTGCCTCGTCGATTCTGTGAACCATAGAGCACCATAAAGATAGAAATAGTAGACTCACACAGACTCGTGTCCCAGCTTGAACTTGAGAGACCCCTTTGCATACGACGATCAAGTAATGCGAAAGCTCCCATATTTGTGCGAATTAAGTATTTTGGATGCCTCAATTTGTAGTAGCACTTACTTACTTAGGCGATCCCTCGTTGTCCGAGTAGGATTGTCTTCCAAGATCGGTGTACTGGGGGTGGGTCCGTAGGATAGACCTATTCTTGATCTGCATCTTCTCCCGCAGTGAGGGCATTGGTTTCCAGGTGGAAGGTGGTCCCGGTTGGCGTTGGCTTGACGCGCCTTCCTCTTGGCACATTTCTCTCTTTTGCCCTCCATTCATGCCTCTTCAAATTCTACAGCACTCCTGGTCACAGCTGACCTCCAGCTGCTTTGGTACAGTGGTCAGGCATCTGGACAATGTGGCCAGTCCAGCAGAGTTGATGGCGGAGGACCATCGCTTCAGTGCTGGCGGTCTTTGCTTCTTCCAGCACGCTGACATTTGTCCACTTGTCTTCCCAAGAGATTTGCAGGATTTTTCAGCGGCAACGCTGATGGAATCGTTATAAGAGTTCTATGTGATATTTATTTATTTATTTATTTCACAGTTTTCTATACCGAGCTTCTCAACCTCATTGAGGGACTCAGCCCGGTTTCCAGCCATAAAAAACATATACACTCATTAAAATATCACATATCACAATTACAAAAACAACTTTAAAAACACTATATATAAAACTACAGTGGTCAGTCGTCCTATTAAGATGGATCTACATCAACTTCCATCCAGGGTCCTATGGTGTTGTCTCATTCATCGAAGGCCTGACTCCACAGCCACGTCTTCACCCGTTTCCTAAATGTTAGGATGGATGGGGCGGTTCTGGCCCCCAGAGGGAGAGAGTTCCAGAGTCGCGGGGCCACCACCGAGAAGGCCCTGTCCCTCGTCCCCACCAGGCGCGCTTGCGAGGCCAGTGGGACCGAGAGCAGGGCCTCTCTAGATGATCTTAATAATCTTGATGGTTCGTAGGGGAGAATACGTTCGGAGAGGTGATGTCTGTAGATAGTCCACATCTTACAGATGTATAGCAGGGTGGGAGGACAATAGCTTTATAAATAAGCACCTTGGTATCCCTACGGATGTCCCAGTCCACAAAAGCTCTCTGCTTCATTCAGAAAAATGCTGCACTCGCAGAGCTCAGGCAGTGTTGTATTTCAGTGTCAATGTTGACTTTTGTGGAGAAGTGGCTGCCAAGGTAGCGGAAATGGTCAACATTTTCTAATGTTACACCATTAAGCTGTATTTCTGGCATTGGAGAGGGATTGGCTGGTGACTGCTGGAAGAGCACTTTGGTTTTCTCAATGTTCAATGACAGGCCAAGCTTCTCGTATGCTTCTGCAAAGGTGTTTATAGTGGCTTGTAGGTCTTCTTCTGGATGTGCACAGACGACATTGTCATCAGCATACTGGAGTTCTATAACAGATGTTGTCATAACCTTGGTTTTGGCTTTCAGTCTGCTGAGGTTAAATAGCTTGCCATCTGTCCGATAGATGATTTCCACTCTGGTAGGAAGCTTCCCATCAACAAGATGAAGTACCACTGAGGATGCTTACCATAGATGCAGGCGAAACATCAGGAGAGAATGCCTCTAGACCATGGCCATATAGCCCAAAAAAACCTACAACAACCCAGTGATTCCAGCCATGAAAGCCTTTGACAATAAGATGAAGTATCATAGTGATGAAGATAGAAAATAAGGTTGGGGCAATAACCCAACCTTATTTTTTGTAGTACTTACTTAAGTTAGGCGATCCCTCGTTGGACAAGTAAGATGATTATTTTTGTGGGTTTGTAGGTGGCTGTGGAGCCCTATTCTTGACCCGCATCTTCTCCCACAGTGAAGGCATTGGTTTCCAGGTGGAAGGCGGTCCCGGTCGGGGTTGGCTTGACGCGCCTTCCTCCTGGAACGTTTCTCTCTTTCACCCTCCACTCGTGCCTCCTCGAATTCTGCAGCACTGCTGGTCACAGCTGACCTCCAGCTGGAGCGGTCAAGGGACAGGGCTTCCCAGTTCTCAGTGTAGTATGTGTCGATATATCTTATATACCAAGCATGGGTGAACTTGGGCTCTACAGGTATCTTGGACTTCAACCCTCACCATTCCTAACAGCTTCAGGCTCCTTCCTTTTTCCTCTCAGCGGCTGTTAGGAATGGTGAGAGTTGAAGTCCCAAGTTGCAGGGCCCAAGTTCACCCATGCTTGGTATATAAGATATACCGATACTACTACAAAAAATGTTGTTGTTCATTCGTTCAGTCGTCTCCGACTCCTCGTGACTTCATGGACCAGTCCACGCCAGAGCTCCGTCGGCCGTTACCACCCCCAGCTCCCTCAAGGTCAGTCCAGTCACTTCAAGGATGCCATCCATCCATCTTGCCCTTGGTCGGCCCCTCTTCCTTTTGCCTTCCACTTTCCCCAGCATAATTGTCTTCTCTAGGCTTTGCTGTCTCCTCATGATGTGGCCAAAGTACTTCAACTTTGTCTCTAGTATCCTTCCCTCCAGTGAGCAGTCGGCTTTATTTCCTGGAGGATGGACTGGTTGGATCTTCTCGCAGTCCAAGGCACTCTCAGAACTTTCCTCCAACACCACAGCTCAAAAGCATCTATCTTCCTTTGCTCAGCCTTCCCTAAGGTCCAGCTCTCACATCCGTAGGTTACTACAGGGAATACCATGGCTTTGACTAGGCGGATCTTTGTTGCCAGTGTGATGTCTCTACTCTTTACTATTTTATCGAGATTGGACATTGCTCTCCTCCCAAGAAGTAAGCGTCTTCTGATTTCCTGGCCACAGTCTGCATCTGCAGTAATCTTTGCACCTAGAAATACAAAGTCTGTCACAGCCTCCACATTTTCTCCCTCTATTTCCCAGTTGTCAATCATTCTTGTTGCCATAATCTTGGTTTTTTTTATGTTTAGCTGCAACCCAGCTTTTGCGCTTTCTTCTTTCACCTTGATTAGAAGGCTCCTCAGCTCCTCCTCGCTTTCGGCCATCAGAGTGGTGTCATCTGCATATCTGAGGTTGTTAATGTTTCTTCCAGCAATTTTCACCCCAGCTTTGCATTCCCCAAGCCCCGCACATCGCATGATGTGTTCTGCATACAAGTTGAATAGGTTGGGTCAGAGTATACAACCCTGCCATACGCCTTTCCTAATCTTGAACACGTCTGTTGTTCCATGGTCAGTTCTCACTTTTGCTACTTGGTCATTATACAGATTCCTCAGGAGAGAGACAAGGTGATTTGGTATGCCCATACCACCAAGAACTTGCCACAATTTATTATGATCCACACAGTCAAAGGCTTTAGAATAGTCAATAAAGAAGAAATAGATGTTTTTCTGAAACTCCCTGCCTTTCTCCATTATCCAGCAGATATTGGCAATCTGGTCTCTCGTTCCTCTGCCTTTTCTAAACCCAGCTTGAACATCTGGCAACTCTCGCTCCATGTATTGCTGGACCAGTACAACCAGATGGATGATAGATAGATAGATAAGATTAGCTAGATAGATAGATAGATTAGATAGATGATAGATAGATAGATAGATAGATAGATAGTAGGGCTGGGCAACCACGGAAAAATTTGTTTCTAAACTCGATTCGTTTTTTGGGGTTTTTTGCGTTTCGATATTTAAAAGAATTCCGAAATTTTTCTTTAAAAAAGTTCGATATTTACGAAATTTCGTAAATCAACAATTACGAAACGATTTCGAAACGAATACGAATCAATTCGTTAATGGCGGACGCGACCGCGCAATACGCTAAAAAACCTCCATATGGGACAGGGGGAACTTCTGAAGCTTCCCTCTCCCTCTGTTGTTGACTGTTGGTGTGATATTTATAATTTTTTTTCACTGATTAAACAAACAACAGCTATAAAACTTGCCCCAGGCATGCGGAAATAATAACGAAACGATTTCGAAATGATTTCGAAACGAATACAAAACGAATACAAAGCAATTACGAAACGAATTAAAAAATTCGTTTCGTTTTTTAGATGCTCCTGAATGGTTCAAAATCGCTTCGTTATCAAAAAAAATAACGAATTTTTAACGAATTACGAAATTACGAAACGAAACCGCCCAGCCCTAATAGATAGATAGATAGATAGATAGATAGATGATAGATAGATAGATAGATTGATAGATAGATAGATAGATAGATAGATAGATAGATAGATGATAGATAGATGATAGATAGATAGATAGATAGATGATAGATAGATAGATAGATAGATAGATAGATAGATGATAGATAGATGATAGATAGATAGATAGATAGATTAGATAGATTAGATAGATAGATGATAGCTAGATAGATGATTGATTGATAGATAGATAGATAGATAGATAGATGATAGATAGATAGATAAGATTAGCTAGATAGATAGATTAGATAGATGATAGATAGATGATAGATAGATAGATATGATTAGATAGATAGATAGATAGATAGATATCAGGCTCCTTCCTTTTTCCTCTCAGTGGCTGTTAGGAATGGTGGGAGTTGAAGTCCAAAACACCTACAGGGCCCAAGTTCGCCCATGAACCTTTGAATCTTTGAAAGTTTCTCTTTGATACCGGAAGTGACTCGCGTGTCACTCTACACTTTTCATATCTCTAGCGGCTTCTGGGCGTCATTTCCGGCGGTGTGTGAAGCAGAGAGGCCGCAGAAGGTATCGAGAGAGGAGAGGGGAGGGGGAGGAGGGAGGAGCCGGGAGGGGCGCGCGCAGCCGGTTTCTGCGCGAGGGACCCCCAGTCGGGCTTGACTCTGGGCCTGGCTGGCTGGTGAGGCCTTCTTCCTGAGGCTTTCTTCCCTCCCAGGAAGCACCCACCGCGCTCGGCCATGGAAGCCGAGGAACCGGGCCCCAGGTATCTCTTGGCCGCGCCAGGCAGGGAAAGAGGAGGCTTGGGGGGCGGACGGGGCCGAGGCCGAGGCCGGCCTTCCTTCCTGCCCCGAGCAGCGCGCCCAGTACAAAAGACTCATTGACTGGGACGCAGGGAGAAGGCGACGAGCCTTCGCGCTCTCGCAGACACTTACCAATAGTGTAGTATTATTGCTACTGCTGTTAGGGTGGGATGTGCAGAGTTGTTATGCTTTCACATACATATTAGGGTGGGATTTGCACACACATATTATCATCATTATGAGACACGGTGTGTGGGCCCAGCAAAGGGAAGGCGTTGGTGTCCTGAAAGAATAGAATAACTTCATTGTCATTTGGAAATGGATCGTTACTCCTTTTTTTAATTTCATGTTTTAGGTTTTCGTTAGTACCAATTTTAGGTCTTGTTTATTTATTTATTTAGGGCATTTATGTCTCGTCCTATTTCACCTCCACAGAGGGACTCAGGGGAGCTAACATCTGGCACATCATAGTGCCCACAAAAGCATAAATATACATCTATACTAGCTGTCCCCTGCCACACGTTGCTGTGACCCACTCTGGTGGTCATGGGGGTTTTGTGTGGAAGGTTTGGCCCAATTCTATCGTTGGTGGGGTTCAGAATGCTTTCTGATTGTAGGTGAACTATAAATCCCAGCAACGACAACTCCCAAATGTCAAGATTCTATTTCCCCCAAACTCCACCAGTGTTCACATTTGGGCATATTGAGTATTCGTGTAGAGCAGGGGTCCTCAAACTTTTTAAACATAGGGCCAGGTCACAGTCCCTGAAACTGTTGGAAGGGCCGGATTATAATTTGAAAAAAAAAATGAATGAATTCCTATGCACACGGCACATATCTTATTTGTAGTGCAAAAACCACTTAAAAACAACACAATAATTAAAATGAAGAACAATTTTAACAAATATAAATTTATTAGTATTTCAATGGGAAGTGTGGGCCTACTTTTGGCTAATGAGATAGGATTGTTGTTGTTGTGTGCTTTTGAGTCGTTACAGACTTAGGTTGACCCTGTGTGAGGGCCGGGTAAATGACCTTGGAGGACCGCATCCGGCCCCCGGGCCTTAGTTTGAGGACCCCTGGTGTAGAGTTTAGTCCAGATCCATCATTGTTTGAGTCCACAGTGATCTCTGGATGTAGGTGAACTACAACTCCAAAACCAAAGGACACTGCCCACCAAACCCTTCCAGTATTTTCTGTTGGTCATGGGAGAACTGTGTGCCAAGTTTGGTTCAGTTCCATCGTTAGTGGGGTTCAGAATGCTCTTCGATTGTAGGTAAACTATTTTTTTTTTTGTCGTGTCAGGAGTGACTTGAGAAACTGCAAGTCGCTTCTGGTGTGAGAGAATTGGCCGTCTGCAGGGACGTTGCCCGGGGGACGCCTGGATGATTTGATGTTTTTATCATCCTTGTGGGAGGCTTCTCTCATGTCCCCGCATGAGGAGCTGGAGCTGATAGAGGGAGCTCATCCGCCTCTCCCCAGATTCGAACCTGTGACCTGTTGGTCTTCAGTCCTGCCGGCATAGGGGTTTAACCCACTGCGCCACTGGGGGCTCCATTAGGTAAACTATAAAAATTGTTTAGGTAAACTATAAATCCCAGCAACTGCAGCTCCCAAATGACAAAATCATTTTTTTTAGTGAAGGACATACATTGGGTTGTTAGGGGTCTTGTGTCCAAATTTGGTGTCAATTCGGCCAGTGGTTTTTGAGTTTTGTTAATCCTACAAAAGAACATTACATTTTTATTTATATACACAGACTGGGCCACAGCAATGCATGGCAGGGGACAGCTAGTAATATAATAAAAACAGTATAAAATAATATAAAACATTAAATACAATGCCGAATTCAGTCGTAATCCTAAAAGCAGTCCATCATAGTCCATTAAAACCATAACTTTGCCAGCAAGTTAGTCTAGTCCGCAAAGGCCCAATCCCACAGCCAGGATTTCACTTTTTTTGGAAGGACAGGAGTAATGGAGCAGATCCGATTTTATTTGGGAGGGAATTCCATAGCCAAGGGACCACCACAGTGAAGGCCCTTGTTCCTAAATGTTCATTTGTTACATTGTAATTTTGTAGTTATTTGATCCCTAATTTGTTATGTCTCACTATTGTTTGATGTTGTTGTTTAATGTACTTTATTTGATTTATGATTGTTTTATTTCTGATTGCACTTTACGGCATTGAATGTTTGCCGATGTTGCTGTGAACCGCCCTGAGTTGTTCTTGTTATTATTATTATTTTAAACATAACAAAATGAGTCCACAGTAGACAAGATCACTCTGCTGGCTGCTGTATTGGATCATATGTCAGACACTTCCCTAGTGTGTAGGACAGTGTGAGGTATTGGCGAATGATGCGTGCAGATCCCAGTAAGGTAGCCCTCTGCAGCTGGCAGATGGTAATTTTGTCAGTGCAGATTGTGTTTAGTGCAGGCCAAAGTCTTTAGGCACTGCAATTGTTGTTGTTGTTATTATTATTATTATTGGAGCTCCCAGTGGTGCAATGGGTTAAACCAGTGGTTCTCAACCTGTGAGTCCCCAGATGTTTTTGCCCTTCAACTCCCAGAAATCCTAACAGCTGGTAAACTGGCTGGGATTTCTGGGAGTTGTAGGCCAAAAACATCTGGGGACCCCAGGTTGAGAACCACTGGGTTAAACTTTTGTGCGAGCAGGACTGAAGACCAACAGGTCGCAGATTAAAATTCAGGAAGAGCACAGATGAGCTCCCTTTGTCAACTCCAGCTCCCCATGCGAGGTCATGAGAGAAGCCTCTCACAAGGATGGCAAAACATCCAGGTGTCCCCTGGCAACATCCTAGCAGATGGCCAATTCTCTCACACCAAAAGCGACTTGCAGTTTCTCAAGTCACTCCTCACATGGAAAGAATTATTATTATTATTATTATTATTATTATTATTATTATTATTATTGCTATTAGGATGAAGCATGCCTTTATTGTTATTGTATTATTGCTACTACTGTTAGGGAGCAATGTATAAATCAAATGTATGTTTTCATTATTATTGCTACTACTTTTAGGTTGTGATGTGCAGAGTTTTTATGCTCTCACACACATGCGCATCTCTATTAGGATGGGATTTCCACACACTTGTATATTATTATCATTATTAGAATACAATGTGTGAGGTCTTCAGTCTTGCACACACATTATCATTACTACTGCTGCAGTTTGTCTTCATTATTGTATTATTTCTACTATTGTTAGAGTGTGATAGATATCAAATGTATGTTTTACAGTATGTCTTAATTACTTCTGCTACTTACAGGGTGCAGTATGTCTTCATTATTATTGTATTATTGCTGCTACTGTTAGGGTGGGATGTGCCAAGTCTTTATGCTCTCACACACTTGCACATCGTTATTAGGGTGGAATTTGCACACACAGTGGTATTATTACTGTCATTATTAGGATGCAATGTTTTGGGTCTTCATTCTCTCACACACATCATCATTACTATTATTATTGTATTATTGCAATGTTTGGTAATTACACACACTTCATCATCGCTGTATTTTAAATAATTTTGAATAAATCAAATGTATGTTTTGTTAGGATTATTGATGTGTTCATCATTCTTTTAGATAAGTTAATATAGTATCTTGACCATACAAATAGGAGAAAGAAAATGTAACTTTATGACTCACTTTATTTTTTTAAGACTTTGGAAATGAGCCTTATTTGCACTCTGTTTATATTAAAACAGAAAAACAAAATTTTGTAAAAACAGAAAAATAAATGTATTGTCTAAGGCTTTCACAGCCAGAATAACTGGGGTGCTGTGTGGTTTCCGGGTTATATGGCTGTGTTCTAACATCCTCTGAAGATGCCAGCTACAGATGCAGGTGAACTGTCAGGAGAAAATGCTAGAACACGGCCATACAGCCTGGAAACCACACATCACCCCAGAAATATGAATGATGAGATCAGAATAATACAATACTTATCCAAATAACCACTAAGAGAAATTTGCCAGTTCAGCTATGAAAATTATGTGAAGTACTTTATCCTAATCTGACAGTTTGAACAGTAATTATTTCTTTACCTTTTCTTTTTAAACAAAAGATACTACACTCCTCTTCAACCAGCATTTTATCCTTTTTCATTCCATCAAATGATGACTGCTACAGATATGGATACCTTGAATGATCAGGAAACTCCTCAGGAAATTTTGGAGCAAAATATGGTTCAGGAACCTATCCCAGGTATTTTTTTTCTTGAGGTGTTTCAGTCAGATATGTATTAATTAATTTCTTCCAAAAACAATGGCATTGCTTCAGTTATATTTTTGGCATATTTTCAAGATAATTTTTACTATACTAAAGTAGTTCTGTTTTAAACTATTTGAATAATATGATTGGTGAGGTATGAACAAACACCTCATGCTTATTTTTAATACTTATTTCCAGATCCTTTACAGAGTAACTGTTTGTATGGATGCTTGTTTGAAATAAAGTTGTTGCATTTCTATAGCATATTGTAAGAATAAAAATTCCTGTGGAAATTACTCCAATATCTTTTTTTAGGAATATGTCCCATCTGGACAATTCATAGGCAGAAATCCAGTTTGACACTGGATTTATGGAGTTTCTTTCATTCCTCCTTTCTGTAGCCCTAGAATTGCCTAGAAAATTGACTCTAAAAGATATCCAACCCAATGGATCTGGGGTTTTTTTTTAGTGCTTGGGTATGGGCTGATTAGGGAATGAAGATCATCATGGACTTATGCAGAATTCTTCAGTGTTTCTTCAGTGGATATTGGGTGTTAGAAGGAGCCCATCATGTCATATATGTGTTACATCCATTTCAGATGATCAGTACATCTGGTCAAGTCTGTAAAGGTTGCAAACAAGTTTTTTTAAATGGAAATACCTTTTTTCTTGTCACACATGATCCCGGAGCAGGTCACAACAATCAAACTGCACAATGGTCTTGTGTATATCTTGTTATGTGTATTTTTATAGTGTTATGTTTTATCTTTCTGTTTTAACCATGTTATACCCCGCCTTCAAACTGTAATGAGAGACGGGTAATAAATACATGATTATTACTATAATGTGCTTTTAATGGCTATATAGTATGTTATTTTTAGCCAAATGTCTGCTGAAAAAGGAAGGCCTTTAGTTGTTACTGAAAACTCTATAATTTAGGAACAGTTTTCATTATTACAAACTAGCTCAGAGGAGGGACTATTTCACAATAAAGATACTAGTGCCAAGAAGGCCCTCTGATGAGTCAAAAAAGGTGATTTGTTTTTTTATCTTTTCCAAGAGTCACACACTCAAAAGAGTATCACCTGCTGACCTAAAAAAAATTGGCAGGATTATATGGGGAAAAGCTACCCTTCAGGTTCTTATATACTTGTAATATGACCCACTGAAGTCAGTGAAACTTCTTATATTAAACTTAATATATTCCTTATGGATCCCACCCCTACAACCACTTAATCATTAATATAACTATGGCTGTATTATTTCACTCTGCTTTGCCATCTGAGGAGGTTGATTGAAATTCATGAAAATGCATGAAAAAATAACTTGTCTTATAATCATTCTAAAGTTGATTCCCATCTCCTTTTCCCTATGCTGAAACAGACTAACATGGTTATTTCTTTGGTAAAATGTTTGTATCTTATTTGAGTTTTTGGTGAGTGCCTAGTGTGTTCTGTCAAAAATCTAGCCACACTACACCATTCTATAACAATATTAAAAATAATGGATTGCAAACCAAATTATGATTTGGGGTGATGAGAAAACCTGGTTGATTTTTAAGAACTTTCTGCCATACAGTTACAGAAGTATTGCTTATAATTATGCACAAAAATAGTATAAATCTCTTTTATAATAGCAGAAGTTATCTTTTAGAGCTATGTAAAGGGAAGGTCCAACTCAGTTTTTTCTTGTGTAGGCCTCTTATGTATACCTTCCCTTGTGATGTTGGATGCACATGTTAGATCCAGTGCAGGACTATTGGCAGAATTATTTTCTAGTCAAGTCCTCTTTGTTATTGTCACATTGGATCTAGTATTTTAATTTAGACCTATCAATCTGCTCTTGAAAACTGTGTCTGGCATAAAATTACTATAATTTAAAATTTCTTCAGTGACAAAGGCAAGATTGATTTGAAACACTTGTAATAAATAGCATTTTCCTCATACACATGATGCATAAAATGGCACAATGTGAAGTTGAGAAGCTGTTGCCTCAACTTGGTCAGTGGTGCTTATCTGATAAGCATTGAATCATGCAGTACTCTTTTTCAGTCTTAGGTCTAGTAGAATAATCATTTAAAGGTTTTCATGTGTTCGTCATTACGAAAACTGTTAAAATCCTGTTCTGTCTTTCAGCACCAGTTAAAGGAAGAAAAAGAAGAACTAAATCTTCTGAGCCCAAAAAGCCTGCTGCTAAAGTCCCTAAAGCCCCTAAAGCCCCCAAAGTTCCTAAAGCTGCCAAATCAAAAGGCAAACAGGAGAAAATCACAGATAAGTTCAAAGTCAAAAGGAAAGTTGATCGATTTAATGGTGTGACTGAAGCTGAATTGTTGACCAAAACTCTTCCTGATATATTGACCTTCAACTTAGACATTGTAATTGTAAGTTCAATAAAAAAAATCATTTTCCCCCTGTAAATGAATACTTTGTAACTAGTTCAGGTAGAAACGTAATAATAAATTCCAAAGTTATGTGCCTGTTACTACATTGTAGCAAAATCACTCTGCTTTCAATTTAGTATCCATAAAGCTAGCTGCTTCCTCTGTGCCCCAGGGTTTACTGTTTTTCCTTTTGTATATGTGGTTATATAATATAGAAGCATCAACTGAAATTCATATATTTGTTGGTTACATAGAATAATAGAGTTGAAAGAGACCACATGGGCCATCCAGGCTAACCCCCTGCCATTCAGTAAAAGCACAGTCAAAGCACTCCTGGCAGAAGGTCATCCAGCTTCTATTTACAAGCTTCCAAGAAAGGAGCTTCCACCACACTCTGAGGCAGAGTTCCACTGCTGAACTGCTCTTACAGTCTCCCACAATCTCAGAATATGGCTTTCTTTTCTCCACTTTATTCTCATAGCAGAATATGTTGGAGTGTGAGAAAGTGGCCTGGTGTCACCTGGTGAGTTTTATGGTAGATGAGGGCTTGAAATTGGATTACCAGAGTCCCAGTCGAACGTTTTAACTACTACGTCACATTGGCTCTCTGGTGAAAACTCTAATTTATGAACATTTGCGTATGCCTCAACAGTCCTATTGATTGATTTTAATGTTTGTGTGTATTTATAGTTTGTTGTATTCCGGCATTGAATGTTTGCCGTATAAATGTTGGGCTGTGCCCTGAGCCCGTTTCGGTGTGAGAAGAGCGGAATATAAATGCTTTAAATAAATAATAAATTAAATATTCAATTTTAAAGAGTTTTAAAGCTTTATAAACTAATGTTTTACTGCAAAATGTAGAACTCTTGTTTACTCTCTAGTGATTGGTAAGACTGCTATATTAGCTGTTGCGCTACCAATCACTCATTCTATCTTGGGAGAAAGACGGGATATAAATTAATAAATAAGGAAACAATTTTTGAAAAAATGAAAATGAGTATTTTATCAAGTGATCAATTTAAAGCTTATTTCTTTTTGAAGGAAATTTAGAAGATAGTCAGTTGTTAGTTCCAAATCATTTGTCTTCTAAGTTCACTGGCAACTACAAGTGACCATCTTCTAATCTTTCCTTATACTTAGCAAAAAGTTAGTCTTTTCAGTTTTTGCATTTCCTTACTTTTTAGAGTTTTTCATCATACTCAGAATAACCCTTTTAAATTAACAGTCACTTATTTCCTGGGTTTCTTGTCCAAATTTTAGATCAATGGCCTGCCTTACTCAGGCAAATAACAATAGTGATTAATGTATGTGTTTTTCTGTAGATTGGTATAAACCCAGGTTTAATGGCTGCCTATAAAGGACATCATTATCCAGGTCCTGGAAACCACTTCTGTAAGTGTCTTCATTCAGTGTTGAAATTTAAGAATTCAGTACTAATTTAGGTTTCTCTCATTGTAGAAAGTGAGAGGTTATATTTTGGGGGGCTAGGTCATGGCTAAGATTTGACTTCTGCTACAAGATATTTAATGAAAAGATGTTTCTGTGTCTGGTTGGAACCGTGTGCCTTCAAATTGCACGCCCAACTTTAGGGTGATCCCATGAATTTCAGAGGCTTTTCTTAGGAAAGGAATACTCAAGAGGTCGTTTTGCCAGTTCCTTCTTCTGAAATGTCACCTGCAGCACCTGGAATTCATTGGCGATATCCCATCCATTTACTAACTAGATCTGGCCCTACTTAGCTAACAAGACCAGATGGAATCTGGTGTTTTTAGGGTATTTGGGCCCTGCAGTGAAAAAGATGCATATATGAAATAGTTAGTCGATACATTGTATTCCTCAACATGGAAAGCCAAGCAGTCATAATTTATAGGATGAGATATGAACTATGCTACATCTTTCCATGAACATTAGTGTCAAAGTGTGTAGCAAATTGCACCTCATTAAACACAGTATAATAGTAAGCAAATCTACTGTTATAGGATATTAGTTGTCTAGGCATTGCTAAAATGTTGATTATGTGGTAATGTTATCTCTAGCAACCTAATCATTAATGCTGGTATATCTGATTTGTTTCTGTAAGTTATATCTTTTATACTTGTAACATTTTAGTGAGAAATAGAGGGACAATAAATTGGGATCGTGTGATATGTGTATTTCTAAAACTATAAGGAGCATGTATGTTCTTGCTTCACAGGGAAGTGTCTATTTTTGTCTGGTTTAAGTGAAGAGCAGTTGAATCATATGGATGACCATACTTTACCATTTAAATATGGAATTGGTTTTACAAATATGGTGGAAAGGACAACACCAGGTAGCAAGGATCTTTCCAGGTACAGTAAAGTTCAAATACTCTGCAGTAGATCACTGCTAGTTGTGGTCCTATTTTTATTTGTGTCTCTTTTAGCAAAGAGTTTCGGGAAGGAGGACGAATTCTGGTACAGAAGTTGCAGAAGTATCAACCTAAAATAGCAGTTTTTAATGGAAAATGTGAGTTTGATTAACCTACAAAGTTTCTGCATTTTGAGCCCGCTATTCTTGTCTTGTGACTAACAATGGTTTTATCTCAATTTCACTGTAGGTATTTATGATATTTTTAGTAAAGAGGTTTTTGGAGTCAAGGTTAAAAAGCTGGAATTTGGGCTACAGCCACATAAAGTCCCAGATACAGAAACAGTAAGTTCCTATCATTTTTAAGAATGTAACTATTCAGAGGCTTCACATTCATGGAGAGAAACATTTATCAAAATGTTTTACATTTGCATTGGCCAAGAAAATAACTTGCTGTTCTGAGTGTAGATCTGTATTCAAAGCTGACATTATTCTCTTTAAGATTTTGAAATTTCAATGCCTATGATTGAGATTATGAAGATTCCTGGCAAGTAAGGCTAGGCCTAAATTCATTTGCTAGTCCCAGCTAAAGTTGCACTTGTTGAATTAGTTGCTAAATAATAAGTCAATACTTGTGTGATTCCCACAGATTTTGGATGTAGACCTTATTATTTAAAATACATACCATTTGATGATTTCTGATTTAACATCTGTTTGATGGTTTTGTACAGCTTTGCTATGTTATGCCATCGTCCAGTGCAAGATGTGCTCAGTTTCCTCGTGCACAAGATAAGGTTCATTATTACATAAAACTCAAAGAATTGAGGGATCAACTGAAAGGTATTATACCGAATGCTGAAATCCAGGAAGTACATTACTCATTTGACTTGCAGCTTGCACAAGGTAAGGATATTAAGCGCAAACACATTATTTTTACGATAATCTAATATGACTTAGCAAAATAAAGTAGACCTAGGTTAGTGCTTAGTGCTATAAACTGCAAAAATAAAGATGTTAACCATGTGCTTCAGAATTTATCACTAAGTACTTTTAAAAGTGTGCACATTTGGGAGGTATTAAATTAAAAGTAATAACAGTCCTACTTTGTTGTAAAACTCATAAGAAATTTGTGGGTTTGTTTATCCAGAGGATGCTAAGAAGATGGCCGTCAAAGAAGAAAAGTATGATCCAGGATATGAAGCAGCCTATGGAGGTGCTTATGGGGAGGAAACAACACCAGAGAGTGAGCCCTGTAACTTCCCATCAAATGGAACAGGTAGAGATTTTTGTGATTTTTTTCATTAATGTAGGATGTGTTAAGATTACTTTCCTTCAATTATAATCACAACATCTCAGAACAATATAGGAAGGAATAAAAATCCCTCTGTGCTGCAGTCTGACCTTGAAAGAGACATGACACTGATCCCCTAAGGCCTGTGATTTATTTATTTTTTTATTGTGTCAGAAGCGAATTGAGGGTACAGTTATAATGTATTTAAAAAGACAAAGTAAGTTAAAAACTTGGCATTATACTTGGGGTGCCTCTGGTGTGGCTGAAGAAGGTCCTCCATTGTGCATGTGGCAAGGCTCAGGCTGAATTGTAGTAGGTGGTCTGTGGTTTGCTCTTCTCCACACTCACGTGTCATGGAATCCACTTTGTAGCCCTATTTCTTAAGGTTGGCTCTGCATCTCATGGTACCAAGAGTGCAGGCTGTTCAGCGCCTTCCAAGTCTCCCAGTCTTCTGTGTGCCCAGAAGGAAGCCTCTCATTAGGTCTCAGCCACTGATTAAGGTTCAGGGTTTTAGCCTGCCACTTTTGGACTCTCATTTGCAGAGGTGTTCCTGTGAGTATCTATATAGATCTTAGAAAGCTATTTCCTGATTTAAGGCATTAGCATGCTGGCTGATATCCAAACAGAGGATTGGCCAAAGATATCCATGCCTTGGTCCTTTTGGTATTGGCTGCTACTTTCCGATGGATTTTTGTTCATTCCAGGATGATCTACAGATGTAATCATTTGAATAATATCAACTTAAACTATTACTTTTGTTTTGTTTTTATGCAGCAACTGCTACAGAGTACAGCAGTAGTTCTTCCTTTGGCGAAGTCGCCAATGGACAATGGATGACCCAGTCTTTCACTGACCAGATTCCAGAGTTCAGCAACTCTAGACCACAAGAGGAAGGAAATGATGCTTAAAGTCTGCCTGTAAGAGTCAGGCCTAAGTGCTGCAGGGTTTTAAACACATTTGTCAAGAACGGTACCTCAGTTCCCCCAACTGAAGCATTTTAATAGCATTTTACCTCTTATTTTTTCTTATGCTAACCATTTGTGTTGTTAGATTTAGGCATATGAATTATGTCACTTTAAAGAAATGTCCCAAGTTTTTTTAAGATAAAAAGCCCTTTTCTTTTTTTCTATGAAACTTTTATATTTAAATTGTTCCATAGTTGCAGTTTTAGCAAACTGAATCATTTGTGACGATCCATTTCTTATTTTCAACTTGTATTTTGTAATGTAACAGGTGGACTTATATTTTTAACCAGTCCCTTCATATGTTGGGATATTTCATATGTAGTTTAGTACATCTAAGAAGGTGGGAAGAGGCTTTTAGATTACACATTGTTACAGGACATTGACACAACGTGCAGTTGTCCACCACATCTGTTACACAATAATAAACAGGCCTACTTTTTAGATAGCTTCTTTGTCGCAGAAGCAACATCAGGCATTTTGCCCCTTTGTTTTTGTTTTTAAGGAGCTCAGTTTCTTAACTCAGTCCTGGAGCATGCATGTAGTTGCATACATCATTTGCTTCCACCAATTTAATATGTGAACTGTCTCGCTGAAAAACATTAGGACTGGAGCACATGACTGCTACCTGCTTTTACTAGAGTCAAACACTTTCACTCTACCTTTATCTTGGTTATTTGCTACTGCCTCAGCTGTCATTTTCTTTTCTTATCAACATGCCATTTCATGTATTCTCAGAATGTTGACCAAGTAAAAGGATAGTAAATAAAGAGCAACACTCAAAAAGCAGGGGAATTCCAGACAAGAATCAGTCAGGGGCAGCTATCACTTCCAAACAAAGAATTCCCCCAGTCAGCAATCAGCCAGGCTTTGAAGCTGCAATGTCATTAAATGCTAATCAAGGTGGCCAATTGCAATATTCACTTACTTCAAGCAGACAGGAGTTCTTTCTCCCATCCTGGACATTCCATACATATATAAACCTCGCTTGCCTACTTTCCAACAGACCCCTCAACCTCTGAGGATGACTGGCATAGATATGGGCAAAATGTCAGGAGAGAATGCTTCTGGACCATGGCCATACAGTCCAAATTCCAGCCATGAAAGCATTTGACAACACATTGACCAAGTGTTTGACATAACGTTGGTGCTCTGTTTGCTGATACATTGTGAGCTGTTGACGCCCAACTAGAAAAAGGGCAGTGCTTCCCATATCAGATAACTTGGTTCATTGAAACAGACGTGGATAATTGTCTTCCTTTGTCTTAGGCAGTGATCTTTAAATTCTAACCGAGGTTTTATTAAAACACATCGTATTTCTCCTTTCCCTATATTTTGGCTCAGCCTTAAGAAGTATTGCTTGTGGGGAAAAGACAGTACTATCTTCAGTGTAGTATCTGGGATTTGATTTTAACATGATGAACAGGACATGTGGACCAGTCTTTATTGTTCAGAAGATGAGAGTACACATACATACACATTTCTAGGGAAATTTTTGATAATTCTCCCCTTGTTTTCCCTATCTCAGGAAGAGTGGGAAATCCTGCCTCGTATCTATTTCACTCTTTTTTCTCACTTTTAGAATGAGTAACATGTAGGACAGCTCTAGGAATGGAAGAGTTTAATAATTCAACTCCACTCAAATAGGAAGCAAAACTTTCCAGAATTCAATAATTTTCCTTTCTTGGAAATGTAACACTCCATATCTTACTGACCAGACTGTTAGTAGTGCTAGCAAGCTGTTCAAGTGTTTGGAAGCCACAAGCATGCTCTGGGGAGTATCTAGCCATTTGCAAAACATTTTCTAAGGTTCAGGGCATGATTCACTTTCATTGCAAGTGCAGTAGCACTTGTTTTATCTTTCACTTATAGGCAACATAATGGCACATTGAGGGAATGGGAAATCCCTGTGCTGCACCATACTTCCTTTCCCTATGCCTTTTAGGCTAAGGTTGTTGAAAAAAATATTACATATGAATAAAAGAGGAGGCCCTGATGTACCAATGCACAGTTTGCATACCTAAGTGAAGTTAAGCCTAATTGGAAAACTGCAAGCTGGTGCTGAACTCACAATGTAAGTGGATCATGCCCACTTTCTTTAGTTCAATTGAGATTGAAAAGAATTGTCTTTGTATTCTTCCGTCCCCCTCAATCCACAAAAAGGGTAAGATACGACTTAAAAGAAAAAGCAATAAGAGAGTTAAGCGGATTTGGATAAACTGTCAATCAGGTGCTCTAGATACTTGAATGATGTGCAAGAACTGTGTTTACATAATATGTACATGATTTCGATCACTATATAAGTGGCATTAGGCGTAAGTAGCTAAGTGGATGGATTGGAAAGTAAAATAGTTCCATAGCCGATTCACAACTTTGGAACCTTTTCACTATATTAAGACTTGCTCATGCTTAAGATGTAGGCATGTCTGTGGACTCCCACCTAAATCATGTACCTTAATCCTAAAATACAGTGTTTTGGTTTCATTTTTTAAATTAAGATTCAGGTGTATATTCTACGATCATGTTGGTTACTTCCTGGGGGGAAAAGTTCATTATCTGGTCAACAGACTAAATGATTCATTGGCAGAATAATCCTTTCCATATTTACTCAGAAGCAAGATCTTCTTTTCAGTGGGATCTGACTTGCTAGTGAATATGTCTAGGACAGGCATGGGCAAAGTTTGGCCCTCCAGGTGTTTTGGACTTCAACTCCCACAATTCCTAACAGCCTCAGGTCCCTTCCTTTCCCCCCTCAGTCACTTAAGCAGCTGGGGGGGGGGGGGAGGAAAGGGCCTGATGCTGTTAGGAATTGTGGGAGTTGAAGTCCAAAACACCTGGAGGGCCAAACTTTGCCCGTGCCTGGTCTAGGATCACAGCCTTAGTTTATCTTTTATGTATCGCTGTTTACATGGACACTTTTTAGCAAGTGCTTGAAGTGCCTTGCATCAGGGATCTGGAACAATTTTTATTTTTAACAGACCTATATTATTCCAGATAAATAGCTCAGTAGTAACTATTGTAAAAGGGAACATCTTGGATTGAAAGAGGCATCATTAAATTACTGAGAAATAAAGTGCACAATGGTTTAATGAAATGTGAATACACATCTCAAATATGGTGCTTTGAAACTGTACTTAATAATTTTGGTCTGCCAGTCTCTTGCAAAAAAAGTCTTAACATGAATTACTGGTGCTTAATTGTGACATTGTCTTGATGCTGGATTGCTATTTGCTTTGAGAAGAAACAGTGATAAATTATTTGAAATGAATAAAAGAATTGATGTTTAATTTATTGTCTATTTAATATTGACCACAGTAAGTACCTACACAGACGTTTTTATTCTGGACTTTTATAAATGACTCTTCAATAAGTAACTATTATTTACAGAATACAATAGAGTCTCGCTTATCCAACGTTCTGTATTATGCAGTCTGCCTCCCACCTGGATGCACAGCTATAGTTAATATTTTCAATACAATGCTTTGGTGCTGAATTCTTAAATACAGTAATTACTACATGATGTTACTGTGTATTGAACTGCTTTTTCTGTTGATTTGTTGTAAAACATGTTTTGGTGCCTAATTTGTAAAATCTTAACGTAATTTGATTTTTTAATAGGCTTTTTCTTAATCCCTCCTTATTAGCCAATATTCTGCCGGCCCGTTTATGTGAGACTCTACTGTATGACATAAAATAGTGATTTGTGTTTTTTAAAAAAATATTTCTCAAAACTTTGTAGTCGGACTTGTAAGGCCTGAAAACGAAGTTTCTCTGAATTGTCCATACTTCATCAGCGATTGTTTGCACTCTTCTCTTCGTTTTGATACAACATTGAAAAAGTGTGTTGATCTCATAAACTAGTTGTATACACAACAAAGGTGATAAATCACATCACAAAATATTAATTACATTGTTATGTACTTGGGACTAATCTTCGTGCCTTCAAAATGTCAATGCCATCAGCTGTTGGGACGAATCAGTTTAAAAGTCCCTGAAGGGTCAGGAACAAACCACTTTTCCCATAGGTCAGTGTGAACACTAGGGTAATCCCAAGGCTTGTATCTTCCATTCCAGTGCAGTAACTTGGCATCATGAAGAAAATGCTCTGAGTACCTGGCATCAGGACTCCAGCCTACATCAGTTAAAAAATAAAAGCTGCTTTTAGAGAAGATTTGTAGGAAAACTGATCCTTCTTCACAGATAAAATAAAAGGCACAGATACCATCCAGTTTAAGTACATGATTAACTCTGCCTCTGAATTGTATAGCACGGTCTGAATGTCAGCTCAGAAGTGAGAGATTTTTTTAATAAATAGATTTGAGATCAAAGCCACAATCCAGAGGGAATCCAACTGAATTAAATCCCCAAAAATTACATGAATGGGAAATAAATTGTAATGATCTTGTCCCACTGATACTTAAACTGAATTTTGGAGAGTGGTTCAGATGTTTGCGGTCACAACACCAAAGCAAGAAGCAAACCTGCATTCCTCCCTGCACTGAAAGACAGGCCCAGCTGATGACTCAAATAAGAATTCTGATTACTTAAATAAGAATTAGTATGTTTTGCCTCAGCATAAGATGACAAAGCCCCAGTCAGAGTACATCATTAGTTTTCTGATTTCTTACACGTGTATACTTCAATAAAAACGTAATGTGGTGCAATGAGTTAAACCCTTGTGCCGGCAGGACTGCTGACCAACAAGTTGGCGGTTAGAATCTGGGGAGTGGGTGAGCTCCCGTCTTAGCTCTGCCTGTCCCCTGAGAGAAGTCTCCCACAGGATTCCGGGCATTCCCTGGGCAATGTCCTTGCAGACAGCCAATTCTCTCACACCAGAAGCGACTGGTGTCGCTCCTGACATGAAAATCAAAGCATGAATCAAATCATAGAATCAAATCATAGAATCAAAGAGTTGGAAGAGACCTCATGGGCCACCCAGTCCAACCCCATTCTGCCAAGAAGCAGGAATATTGCATTCAAATCACCCCTGACAGATGGCCATCCAGCCTCTGTTTAAAAGCTTCCAAAGAAGGAGCCTCCACCACACTCCGGGGCAGAGAGTTCCACTGCTGAACGGCTCTCACAGTCAGGAAGTTCTTCCTAATGTCCGATGGAATCTCCTCTCTTGTAGTTGAAGCCATTGTTCCGCGTCCTAGTCTCCAAGGAAGCAGAAAACAAGCTTGCTCCCTCCTCCCTGTGGCTTCCTCTCACATATTTATACATGGCTATCATATCTCCTCTCAGCCTTCTCTTCTTCAGGCTAAACATGCCCAGCCCTAAGCCGCTCCTCATAGGGCTTGTTCTCAAGACCCTTGATCATTTTAGTCGCCCTCCTCTGGACACATTCCAGCTTGTCAATATCTCTCTTGAATTGTGGTGCCCAGAATTGGACACAATATTCCAGATGTGGTCTAACCAAAGCAGAATAGATGGGTAGCATTACTTCCTTAGATCTAGACACTATGCTCCTATTGATGCAGGCCAAAATCCCATTGGCTTTTTTTGCCGCCACATCACATTGTTGGCTCATGTTTAACTTGTTGTCCACGAGGACTCCAAGATCTTTTTCACACGTACTGCTCTCGAGCCAGGCGTCACCCATTCTGTATCTTTGCATTTCATTTTTTCTGCCAAAGTGGAGTATCTTGCATTTGTCACTGTCGAACTTCATTTTGTTAGTTTTGGCCCATCTCTCTAATCTGTCAAGATCGTTTTGAATTCTGCTCCTGTCCTCTGGACTATTGGCTATCCCTCCCAATTTGGTGTCGTCTGCAAACTTGATGATCATGCCTTCTAGCCCTTCATCTAAGTCATTAATAAAGATGTTGAACAGGACCGGGCCCAGGACGGAACCCTGCGGCACTCCACTTGTCACTTCTTTCCAAGATGAAGAGGAAACATTAGTGAGCACTCTCTGTGTTCGTCCACCTAACCAATTACAGATCCACCTCACCGTAGTTTTGCCTAGCCCACATTGGACTAGTTTCCTTGCCAGAAGGTCATGGGGGACCTTGTCGAAGGCCTTACTGAAATCCAGGTACGCTACATCCACGGCATTCCCGCATCTACCCAGCTTGTAGCTCTATCGAAGAAAGAGATCAGATTAGTCTGGCATGACTTGTTTTTGATAAATCCATGTTGACTATTAGCGATGACTGCATTTGTTTCTAAGTGTTTGCAGACCGCTTCCTTAACAATCTTTTCCAGAATCTTGCCGGTATCGACGTGAGGCTGACCGGACGGTAGTTGTTTGGGTCATCCTTTTTTCCCTTCTTGAAGATTGGGACCACATTGGCCCTCCTCCAATCTGCTGGAACTTCTCCAGTTCTCCAAGAACTCTCAAAGATGGTTGCCAATGGTTCCGAAATGACTTCCGCTAGTTCCTTCAATACTCTGGGGTGTAGTTGATCTGGCCCTGGGGACTTGAACTCGTTAAGAGCGGCCAGGTATTTCTGGATGACTTCTTTCCCAATTTGGGGTTGGATGTCCTCCAATCCCTCATCCACTCCATCTTGCTGAGGTTGAAGACTCTTTTTGTGAGAAGACCGAGGCAAAGAAGGCATTAAGTAGTTCTGCCTTTTCCCTATCCCCTGTCAGCATTGCCCCATCTTCTCCTCGAAGAGGTCCTATCGCCTCCTTGTTTTTCCTTTTTCTATTGACATAAGAATAGAAGCCCTTTTTATTGTTTTTAATGTCCCTGGCAAGTCTGAGCTCGTTTTTTGCTTTAGCCTTGCGGACCTTTTCCCTACAGGTGTTGGCTATTTGTTTGAATTCTTTTTTGGTGATTTCTCCCTTTTTCCACTTCTTGTGCATGTCTCTTTTGTGTCTTAGCACAGTTAGAAGTTCTTTGGACATCCATTCTGGCTTCTTTGAAGATTAATGATATGATGTCACTTACAATCTGCCACATTGCAGGGTACAGTAACAAAAATAACTGTTAGAAATAATTAAAAATTGTCCATTTTCAGTTAATATATACAAGTTCAGAATCAAAAACTTACCTAGATGCCGAATATGCCATAAGGGATTAATTGATGAATATTTTCCATGGAATACAATGAGCATTGGTGAAGTTGCCACACCTCCTGCAAGTGTGCTGCTGTATAGGTTTTCTCTGGAGTGGGGTGTAGGGAGATAATTTTAAAATTATTAAGACATTCTGAAGATGTATTTAGCTCTTTCAATAACTTAATATGAATAAGCAATAAATAGCAAGAACCATCCCAATTCAATTAAAATACGAACAGCATTTAGAATTTTGATGCCTGCCCAAGCATACTTTTTCTGAGTCGCCTGAGGTCTGAGAAGGGCAGTATATAAATATAGTAAGTAAGTAAGTAAGTAAATATTTTTTTCTAATTAAGCCAAGAGAGTTTCCTTAAGTCCCTCCCCTCTGCAGACTGCTGGCAATGCCAGTCTAGGAGATCAAAAGCTCCCCTCCAGCCATACAATTGGCCTTTCTGTCCAGAGGTGAGTGTTTTATATACTGCATACTACCCTCAACCTTTATGATTCAAACATAGCTATCTGTGTTAGACTTTAGAAAAAAGGAATGTATTATCAGAAACTAGCCAGTAATGAGTAAAACATCCACTGTGCATACATTACTGTCACATTAATCTCACTCAATCATTTGAGCAATACTAAATAGTATTTATAATCTAGATATTTGTCTAAGAAGTATATAGTTTGCAAGCTCAACAAAAATGTGGCACATCAACCATATAATCAGTTGAAGGTACATTAGAGTCTCGCTTATCCAACATAAATGGGCCAGCAGAATGTTGGATAAACGAAAATGTTGGATAATAAGGAGGGATTAAGGAAAAGCCTATTAAACATCAAATAACATGATTTTACAAATAAAACACCAAAACATCATGTTTTACCTCGAATTCGGAGACCTCGAATTCGGCCTAATTCGGACCGCCTACCAACATTAATAATCCCAAACCGGTCTCCTAAGGTAAATTGGTGTAACCAGGTGAGCGGGCCCTCTGGATTGAAGGTGGTGCTGCTGAACGCCAGATCTGTCAACGGAAAAACGACCTTTATCCAGGATTTAATCCTGGATGAGCGGGCAGATCTGGCGTGCATTACGGAGACCTGGCTGGATGAAGCTGGGGGGGTGAACCTGACCCAGCTGTGTCCCCCAGGTTTCTCCGTACAGCACCAACCGAGATCCGGAGGACGGGGAGGCGGGGTTGCAGTGGTCTATAGAGATTCCATCCATCTGACCAGGAGCCCCATCCCGCAGACCACAAATTTTGAATGTGTCCACCTAAGG